GTTCAAAGTGTGAAGAATATCAAGAAGAGAAAAGGAAGAAATATAATACTCTCAGTATCCCTCATTTTCTAATATCTGCAATACTTTTGTCAGTGTGATATTTTGCACCACTTCGTCCTCGTTCTTAGCAAAGGTTATTTCTCTACTTTTGCCTATTTATAACATGATCACCTTAAAGTTGGTCTTGTATGATTATCAGAGAGACGGGCCAAAGACTCACTTCTAACAACATCGATATTATCCCAAATTTGTTAATTACCATATTCACAATCCGTCAGGTATGAGGTTTTATCACAAAAAGTCTCGGTGTTAGTTGGAGTGAAGTTATGATATTTAAACTCTTCTTTTGTCATTGATACGGTCGACGTGAGACATTTCAACACGCTTCATCATGTGAGATCCAATTAGTAGGTCACACGTGAAAGATTCACACAACGACAATCACGTAGAGTCAATGAGACTCACCCTACAAGCAGGACCAAGAGACCCACCATCATCGCATGAAAAGGTCCCTCATTTGACAAATTTGCATATGCTTGAGTGGTTAATCCTTGCTGACAACCATCTCAGAAGTGGGGGAATTGACGACTCGACCTTTCTCTGTGATTTAAGCAATGCCACCCATTTAGAATTTCTCGAAATGTTTACCAACAAGTTTGGGGGCACGTTACCTCAATGCATAGGAAACCTGTCTTCCTCTCTTCAAATATTCCATATTGCACAAAATAAAATATTAGGAAGTATTCCGAAAGAGATTGTAAATTTGGCTAACTTAGAGGTTTTAGGGATGCTGAGAACCAATTATTGTTGGAAATTTTGAGTAGAATTTCATTGTCCCACATTGCTCACCACCACAAGGTTTCCTCACTTTATAAGGCTTTGTCCCTTATAGAAAATGATTGGAGTGATGAACCTTGGAGAATAAAATTGGCCTCATCCTTAGGGTTGGGTTTTGGGGTGTAATAAATTAATTGATAATTAATTAATAATTAATATATTATTAATTATCAAAAGATGGGCCTTGGGCCTTGGGGCTGTTGTGAACATACATATGTTCACTATAAATACATGCATCTGCATATCATTCAAATCACAAAAAATCATCAATCTTCATATACCAAGCATACTGAGAGCACCACAAACAAATTCGCCAGAAGTCTAGTTTTCTGGTGTTGGAATTCTAACTTAGATCGTTGAATCCTGGTGAAGTAGACGTCCGTAGAACTACAAGCACTGAGTAGGGACGAAATTTCTGTTTCAAGGACATTGCGGTTCCTAAGCCTCGATCTTCAAGTTGTCTGTTCTACATTTTTGTTTTGTCCATACTCTGTTAATTTTTCTATTCGCATTTATTATTTATTAGCATATATAATTATATCACAGATTGTTGACTTATATCTAACAATCTTGAAACAGAAATTTATGGATCAATAATATGTGAATGTGAATGACGCTGTGCCAAAATACTCTGAAAAACCTGAGAAGTTCAAAGGGCTGGACTTCAAGAGATGGCAACAGAAGATGTTGTTTTTCCTGACAACAATGAATCTCGCTCATGTTGTCAAGGAAGAAGCTTCGAAGTCTAATGAGAATCCAATAACGAAAGAGACTGTCATGGCAATTGAAGCTTGGAATCATTCCAAGTTTTGTTGCAGGAATTATATTCTGAATAGTTTGGATGACAATCTTTACGACATTTATTCTCTGTGCAAGATAGTAAAGGAGTTGTGGGAATCCCTGGAGAAAAAGTATAAGATTGATGATGCCGGTTCAAAGAAATTTGTTATCGGTAAGTTTCTCAAATATACTATGGTGGATTCGAAATCTGTTGTATCTCAGGTCGAAGAAATCCAGAAATTGATCTATGAACTGCACTCCTAGGGATGCGAGGTCAATGAGCATTTCCAAGTTGGGGCGATAATCGAAAAGTTGCCAACTTCCTGGAATGACTTCAAAATTTATCTCAAGCACAAGCGTCGTGAGATGAATATGGAGGATTTGATTCTGAGGCTACGAGTGGAAAAAGACCACATAAAGGCAGACCGTTCTGGTAGGTGAAGGAAAATTTTTGTCCTAGCTAAGAACAAGTATGAACATTTGAATACATATGCAAACTATTAACACTTTAAAGTAGGCATGCATCCAAAAAACAATTCATAAAACCCATGACTTTCAAAGCCTAGTATATGGTGAACCAATAAACTCTTTAACAACATTAAAGAGAAGTAAAGATTTAGAGTTTCTTTACCCTTGAAGCTCATCCTTGTTTACACAAGGGATTCACCCAAGTGGAGGGCCTTCAAGTCACCTCCAAGCTCCTTGGATATTGCTTGTGATTTCCTTCTCCTTTGGTGCTCCTTTGGTCCTTGAGGATGAAAGGAAAGGATCTCCAAAACACTAAAGGTTTGGTGTCTCTAAGTCTCCACACCAAGGGTTAAGTGTGAAGATGAAATGGATGACTTAGAGAAGAAAAGATTGCTAGATTAATCTCCCCTAAGTGGCCGGCCTCCTTGTTGAAAAAGAGAGAAAAGGTTTCACCTCATTTCACCAAGAAAAACCCTAATTAGAAAAATAGCTATAAAGTTGCTTTTATAACACTTTTCTTTGGTGAGTGGCAAACTTGCAATTAAGCAAACTTTCACCCATCTCCTCACCATGGCCGGCCTATATGTTGTGATTGGGCTTATTGCCCATTTTGTTTTTAGTTGTCATACAACTTAAACATAATGGGCCTTGTGGACCAAAACACTTTTGGGCCCCGAAACCCAAAACCAACTTAAAAGCCCAATACGAACCTTTTCGTAAAATTAATCAACTAATTAATTAATCTTGACCATTCTTCAATTAAACAATTTAATTGCTTATCCATTTCATTTATTTCTTCACTATCGCCCTTACTCGGTGTACGATCCATTAGGTTCCAATTAGCGAGGTAGTGGGCGATTGTTACTCTTAACGATCGATTGTGAATTGAAACCACATTTCAGTTCTCCCCTTTAATGATTAGTGTTTGCTAATCATTAGGGCTTCCACAAACCATGAGTGACACCTAGAAGTATGTCATGGTTACCTAAGCTAAGTAGAATTGGTTGGAGAACCTATCCAGTTACAACTACAATGCAATACGGTCATTCTCTAATACAATACTCTTAATCACATTGTTTAAGTGATAGTTTGTTTCCTGTCTACTATCCAATGTGATACTTTCCTATATGATTCCCTTGAATATGATTTGGAACAAACTTCCTAAGTCATATTCATATGCTTTGGCCAAAGACTTTAGAATCATATCTTAGAGTATGCTCCTTCCACCATGGAAGGTTAGAGATCCCTTGTTGTGCATTCATATGCCTACATGACTAGATAGCTTGACCCCAACAATGCCGTGGACACTCCAATGGAATGCCGTTGACATGATCAAAGATCAAGGACCTAACCATTAGACATCTATGATGCCTCGGGTCAAAGGACTACTTTGCATATTGCAACTTTCGAGTTCTTACATGACATGTATGTTCGAACTCTCTTTTGATCGTTCTTCAGTGTACTCGATTACTCTTTCGAGCACCTATGTGTTTGTCTTAGTGTCCAACACCAAATGACTTGAGACTAGTCATACTCAAGCTTGAGTTGACATAACACATACTAACCTTAGCGGATTGTCAATACCCAATTGGCAATCCTACGGCTAGGAACGTTTTAGGAATGAACATAAGAGAATGGTCTCGATAATCTAACTCACTTAGATCACTTGTCTCTTAGATCAAATACATCCCTTGGATTCCCTTATTGCTTAAACACATGATACAATAAATAGTGATTGACAATAAGCTTTGCCCTTCATTAAACATATAAAAGTTTAATACATTAAGTATTCCAAAAAGCTATTACATCAAATGAGTGGCTTTGTGGGCATACTTCCAACAATCTCCCACTTGCACTCAAAGCCATCCTCCCATGTATCTAATACCCATCTTTTCCATATGACGGTCAAGCTGGATTTGAGACATTGGCTTTGTCAGTGGATCTGCTACGTTATCGGCTGAAGCAACTTTGAGGATGTTGACTTTCCCCTCGGCATCATATCTTCTAATGATATTAAAGCGTCTGTCAAAATGCTTGTTCTTTTGATGTGCCCTGGGTTCCTTGGCTTGAGCTATCGCCCCACTATTATCACAGTACAAAGTTACTGGTGATGTAATGGTTGTAACCACTCCAAGTTCAGTGATGAACTTCTTCATCCAGAACGCTTCTTTGCCGGCTTCAGCTGCAGCGACATATTCAGCCTCTGTTGTGGAATCAGCAATTACACTTTGTTTCTTGCTCTTGCAACTGACAGCCCCACAGCCCCACCATTCAGAGTGAATACATATCCAGAGTTGGAACTTCTATCATCGACGTCAGATTGGAAATCTGCGTCTGTATAGGCTTCCACCCGAAACTCTGCCGCTCCTCCATATACGAGGAACATGTCTTTAGTTCTTCTTAAGTACTTAAGGACCGTCTTGACAGCTGCCCAGTGTTCTAATCCTGGGTTAGATTGATATCGACTAGTAATGCTCACAGCATATGCGATATCAGACCTTGTGCATATCATGGCATAAATGAGAGTCCCTATGGCAGAAACATAAGGAATAATATTCATTTGCCGTATCTCTTCAGGAGTCTTAGGTTCCATGGACTTAGAAAGGTGAATTCCATGTCTAACAGGAAGAAAACCTTTCGTAGACTGTTCCATCTGGAACCTACTTAACACTTTATCAATGTACATAGATTGGGATAATCCAATTAATTTTCTGGATCTATCACGATAGAGCTTTATCCCAAGTACATAAGATGCATCTCCTAAATCTTTCATGTGGAAGGTTTTGGACAACCACACTTTTACAGAAGAAAGTATTGCAGTGTCATTCCCGAATAGTAATATGTCATCTACATATAACACTAGGAATACAACTGCTTCCCCAACGACCTTTTGATAAACACAATTGTCGTCTTCGTTTTGAGTAAAACCAAACGTTTTGATTTCAGTATCGAAACGAATGTTCCAGCTCCTGGAGGCTTGCTTAAGTCCATAAATGGACCTTTGAAGGTTGCA